TTTATTGCCAAGCATGCATCTCGGGAGTACGCAAACCTCATCGATCTCCACCTAAGAGAATTCCGGGGACTCCCTCACCTCTGCTCCATCCCACGGGGTGCTGCCCCAGGAGCATGCGACATCCCGCTAGCTCGCAGGAAATGAGCCGCTGGAAACTTCAGAATTCATGTGCTTCCTTCAGGAGAGCAGTCAGCTCTGTTCATTAAAAAAAACCAGCGGGCGAGTGGCTCACGCCTGTAATCCTAGCTCTCTGGAGGCCGAGGTGGGCGGATTGCTCAAGGTCAGGAGTTCGAAACCAGCCTGACAAGAGCGAGACCCCGTCTCTACTATAATAGAAAGAATTATTGGCCAACTAATTATATACAAAAAATTAGCCGGCATGTGGCGAATGCCTGTAATCCAGCTACTTGGGAGGCTGAGGCAGGAGGATTGCTTGAGCCAGGAGTTGAGGTTGCTGTGAGCTAGGCTGACGCCACGGCACTCACTCTAGCCTGGGCAACAAAGCGAGACTCTGTCTCAAAAAAAAAAAAAAGAGTGACCTCAGATGTCCCCAACCCCCCTGTGTCCAAATTTCCTTGTCTATAAAGTAAGGGGAAACCTAGTTCCTACCCCACCCATAACGTGGCAATGAGAGTGAAATGAGATCTTGCAGAGGAAACACTTCCATTTTGCCTGGCACCTATTAAGTGCTCAAAAAATGCTTCTTTTTCTTCTTCTTGTTGCATAGAAAAGGTCCCTAAGAAAACCTGCCAAACCTTCCATCGTGTCCACCCCCAGAGAATGAAAGTGCTGAGAGCGAGACTTCCGCTGTTCACATCACACATTTATACCGCATTTGTATTTCCACCATGTGTGTAATTGACTCTTGTCATTAAAATACAATAAGGTGTTTTTGGTTTTTTTTTTTTTTAATGAACAGAGCTGACCGCTCTCCTGAAAGGAAGCACATGAATTCTGAAGTTTCCAGCGGCCTCATTTCCTGCGAGCTAGCGGGGATGTCGCATGCTCCTGGGGCAGGCACCCCCGTGGGATGGAGCAGAGGTGAGGGAGTCCCCCGGAATTCTCTTAGGTGGAGATCGATGAGGTGGTTTGCGTACTCCCGAGATGCATGCCTTGGCAATAAAGTCCGCCCTGACTTAACAATTCCTACGTGCCCGTTTTTCAGTTCGACTCAAGCAGTCTAAATAGATGAGGCTGAGCCAAGTGGTCAAACTTTTATAAAAAAGTTCGGGGGCCGTGAGAAGAGATGCAACCTGCGGAGAACAGCAAATGATTCCCTGAGCACTTACGAACGTCAAGCCCTGAGCCACACACTCCTACACCATCTCCTCTCATCTCTCGTAGAAATCCTTTAAGATAAGCAGGGATTGGTCCCCTTTTTGCAAAGGAGGCAACCGAGGCTCAGAGGGCGGGTGGCATTTGCTCAAGGCCACACATCTCGAAGCGAAGTCCAGAGTTTGACCCCAAGACTACCTGGCCACGACATCGAAGCCTTCCATGGGGTGCCCAGTAACAACCTGTGTACTCTGTCGTAGGGAAGAGGGGACAGACCCTTCCTTACCAGGGGGAATTAAATCCATCGATGTTCTCTGCCACCTAAATAATTGTACAGAATTATTTTATATTTGTGATCAACCCCTTTGAAATTTTCAGGAGAGTCCTCGTTCATTCAGTGTTCCCCCAAATTGTTTCTGGGGTACCATTTTGTTTTGTGTGATAGTAATAAGTGTTCTGCAAGATCTGGTCATTTTAAGGAGTTCTAAGTTAAACTAGTTTTGTGTAGTAGGTTCCCTTAGTGCAGGACTTGTCAGAGCCTTTGATGTGCCATATTTATGACTTCCCAAGAGGGTGCTATGAGTGCAGCATTACCCAGAATTATTTAGTCATGGAACCCTTTCCTTATGAGGCATATTCCGAGAACGGAATTCACTTTGGTAAATGCTAACCTAAACAAACAAGCCTTTATTTCTCTTGCTTGCCTTTTCAAGCACATTCAAAACAACAGAAAAGTTTAGCACACTAACTGTGAGTTGTATTGAACTTATGAACTTTTGAGCCCGGAGCCCGTGAAGCTTATGTAACTCACATGTCTCCTTACCCTGGGAGCCACGTGGTGTGCAGGCAACTCACGCTGCCATGCTACAGCTCACATGCGATGTAATGTTCAGCCCCCCTGGGAAAACCACAGAAAACAATAAAAAATAACAAATTTTTCATTAAATTAGAAAGGATCATTTTGTTTGCGAAGTTTTTATTCTGTCTTTGTAATAAAAGACTATGGCCCCAAGGGAAAAAAAAATGTTTTTCCTAGCGTGGCAGTCAATGTGTTAAACACATTTTAAATCTAAAACTGCAAGAAAAATTTTCCCAGTCTCTCCCCAAATCATCCCTATGCCTGCAGAAATACCCAAGACCTTATTATAGACGCCCGGATATATAAGACAACACCAGGTATAAGACGACCCTCCATATAAGATGAGCGCACTCTTTTCTCAATGGCAAGATCTAAAAATAATTTCGGACCAACTTGAGTTTACAAACTTTTAGGGACTCGATGAAGGAATCAAATGTTTCCTTATCACTGGAAATTTATTAATGTAGTTTGGTAAATATTTTTTTCGGGGCTTGCATTTTAAATTATTTTTGTTTTGGAAATTTTTTTTCCCTTGTTCCGGGTTCGGAAACTCTTTTGTTTCAACTTTTTTGCCTTCTTTTTTTTTTTAGGAAGGCCTTTTTTTGACCCTTTTTTTCCGTTTTTCCATTTTCCTTCTTGGCCCCTTTTGCCCGGGGTTTTGGGAGGCTTTTTTACTTCCCCGTTTTTTTTTTGCCCGGTTTTTTTGGACCGGCGGCCCTTTTTACCCCTTGCTTGTTGCCTTCTTTGGAGTTCTTGGCCCGGTTGCAGTTCTTGCCCTTCTTACCCGGATTCCGTTTGGGCCGTTCCCTTTTTTTCCCCTTGTTCATCCATCCTCCGGGTGTCTATTTGTGATCTCTGCAACCGAACTCCTTACAGAGTTGTTTGTAAAGTGAGCTTTAGGAGGCTGGTGGATATGACATCAAACACTGGCAGTTCTGAATCATCGCTCCTGGAATTAACTGTTCAGTCTCTTTGATTCTGACAGGTGAGTGCTAGAAGCCTCCAAGGAACTAGCTTTGATATTGAAGTCATTCCCAAATAGGACTTTAGGGATGTAAATCAAATCATTGTCAGAGTGCCCTATAATCTGAGAGAATTTGCAGGGACGGAAGTATTTTGCAACTCCTTTTCTCCTATGTAATGATCCCAGGGAGGCACCTCCTGGGTTGTGCTTGGGCAGAGGCAGTACTGAGAAAGGAAAGACTTCACTTCTAAGAGGATGCCTGTGCTCGGTCAGCAGGGAGTGGGTTAAACACAAGCTTTGTACTCAAGCTCGGGAGGGAATCAGACCTCATGTGGCACGGGCCTCCTTCTGCCCAAGACCGGGAAGAGTGAGAGCAAGAAAGGAAAAATTATTGACTTAGGGAAAACACTCAATTGCAACCTCATGAGTAAATGGGCCATTTATCCCTCAGTCCGGAGCTCCTTGAAAAGGTGACGGTCCATCAATCCTTCTTCTGAGCTGCCCCTTGATGAGCTGCTCTATCAATGGGCTAATTTAGCTGATTACAGAGGAATTTGAGAGGAATGGGCCGCCAGAGGCTGGGTCCGGGCCAGCAATGCATTAACTCCTCGGCTAGTGTCTCCATCACCCTCCACTTGGGACCGATAGGGGCGTCTTATTCCTGAAAACATGTCCCATCTGATGGGCTTCTGTTAAGCTCAGCCACGGCTTATCAGGTGCTAGGTGGAAAACCTACTGCTAAGGGCATGGACCGGTCTGTCCTCTGAGTCCTTGGAGGGGGAGGACAACCTCTGGGACCAGTGCCAGGCTATTCTCGGCTCCTGGTCAGCGGCATGCCGACGCCCAGCCCTGTAGGAAGGGAGCGAGGGAAGAGATGGAGAGGCCAAGGCTTGAGTATTATTGCTTCTTTACTTCCCTGACTCTTTTTTTTTTATTATTTCATCATATTATGGAGGTAAAAATATTGTCAGAGTTACAAATATTGCACTTCCCTGACTCTTTACAGCATACAAAGCTTGGAAAATGCCCTAGTCTTCTCCAGCAAACGAGGAGGGAGAATGGATGAACAACCATGATAGGGATCTCTCTATTCCCCCCCCAAAAAAAGAATCATCTTCAAAATCTCCCCCCAGTAATCTCTAATAGTTCCTACAACTCCCATCTTTTGGATTAAAATACTGCCCTAGCCATAGATTCCATTTAAAACATTGTCCTGTTAGCCATTTACACTTTCGCATGAATTAGTCTGTCCACTCTGTTTAAGGCTGCAGGAACAGGACATAGAAGGATAAGTCCAAGATGGAAGTTGAACACGAGAAACCAAGAAGAGGGGAGGGCAGGAGGGTGAGTGTGGGATAAACACTTACCTGTTGGGTACAATGAACACTTTTCTGGTGATGGGCACACCAAAAGCTCTGACTTAAGCATTATAGGAGAACACGTGTACCTCTTTAATTAATATTTTGAAATTTAAAAAAAGCACAAACAGAAGTCAATCCAGGAGAAAGGAGGTATGAAGGGTGATACATTGGAGAGCACAAAACATCCAATTCTCCACAAAGCACGTTTCAACAGAAAGAAAGGAAAGGTACCCAAAGAGAAGGAAAGAGGACCCAGGTAACACACTTGTTGCATTCTCAATTTTGCTTAAAGGGATCTCAAATCTAGAAAATCATGAAACTTCCAGCTCAACTCCCCCTTGAAAGGAACAAGAAAGCATGCTCATATAGGTGGCTATGAAGTGAGTTGGAGCATCAGTTATTGCTATTAACGAGACTTTGAAACCATCCCACTCCCTTTAGTGGGACAGAAACAATCCCGTTTGTTTATTTCTCCAATTTAAAACCCGAGCCCCTATGTGTTAAGAAGTCTTTTGAGTGACAGAAATCAAATGGAAGCAGCTTGAGCAAAAGAGAGAATTTATTGGCTCATGTAGATTTAAAGTTCAGAGGCTGTGGTTTCAGGCATGGCTGGATCCAGGGGATCAAACAATGTTGTCAACAATCTCTCTGCTGCTCCCAGCTCTTCTACTCCCTCTTTGTTGACTTTGTTCCCAGACGGGCTGTCCATGTGAGCCTCGCACAGTCACCAGGAGCTTCAGACTCCCATTCCACCAGCTCAGAAACCAGGTAGAGAGTCATTCTTTCCTGACAGCTCCAGCCAAAGTCCCAGAGCTGATTCTAGTTGGACCCTTCTGTGGCTCACATCCACCCCTGAGTCACGCGCTGGGGCCCACGGATGGACTGCACAGACTGGGCAGACCAAGGCTCACACGAGCTCTGCATGTGATGGGCAAGGTCAGCCCGACCCTAGCCACACGACCGGGGAGTAGAAAGAGGTGGTCTTCCAAAGAAACGTCCAGATGAAAAAGGGGGAGATCCTGGGTGGGGAGACAACAGGGTTCCTTCAGGAGTCATAAACAGATTTGTGCAATAAAGTTTTCAGGGTTCCCACATGGAAAATTCTAGAGTCTGGTGGGGGTGAATACAGAGTCAGCACTAATTTCAGCGATTCCCATAGACCTTATCAAGACAGCTTAATCTCCCTCTGCAGTTTTAGCCTATTTCCTGAAATCCTGAAATCTGCTGATCCTTTTGCATGTCCAACTCAGTTGGCTCAATCGGGGCTTAAATGGTACAAAAAAAAGACCAACCACTAATGAGAAGAGACTTGAAGACTTGACCTCATAGGAAATGTGTGGGGTTGGGTTCCAGGAAAATGGGGTTTCTTTCTTCATCTTAAGGAGTAGTTCTAAGCAAGCTGAGTGACCTCTTCGCCCCTTACTCAATTCAACCCACATTTACAGAGCAGCACAGAGTGGTGAGTAAGAGCTTTTTTTTGGAATCAGAGCTGTGTTCAAATCAGCAGGTTTCCTGTGTGAGCTGGGGCTAGTGACTTAACCTCTCTGAGCCTCCATTTCCTCATTGATAAAATTGGTGAAAAATAACCTCTACCATGTAGAATTGCTCTGAAGATTAGATGAATCACACATTCATCATGACCTGAGCATCTACTCTCTGTCAGGCACTGAGAAAAAAAAAAAATCAACAAAATTTTTCAGCACTATGGAGCTTACCTTCTGACAAAGCAAACAGACCACAGACATTAAGAAATGAGTCGATTATTTAGAGTGTAAATTATTTTGAGTGTGAATTATTCCGAGTGTTATTTGGAGTGCCATTGGAGGGGAGTAGAACAAAGTAGTAGAAATTAGGAGTGAGTCCAGGGGAGAGGAAAGGTTCAGTGCTTAGTAAGGTGACCAAGGTGAGTCTCACCAAGGAGGTGGTCTTTGAGCAGAGACTTGAAGAAGGTGAGTGAGGAGGTGGGGAGGAGTGTTCTGGCTGGAGAACAGCCAGTGCAAAGGTCCTGAGGTAGGAATGTGTTATCTGGGGTAGTCGTCTGCAGCAAGGATGCCACTGTGGCTGCAAAGACTGGCCGACAGGTGGACAGGGAAGAAACAAGGAAGCAGATCCTGTAGGGCCTTGTCACCACTTTAAGCACATTAACATGGGAAGTGGTCAGCACAGCCTGGCCCACACAAGACTCCAAGAAGTAGAAGAACACGGATGAAGACGACAGTGAAGATGGTGATGATGGTGACGCTGATGGCGGTAATAAAAACAATGCAGTGTGCTAGTCACTCCAGCAGTGACATTCAGGCTCACTCAGACATGCCCTGGCCTTCCCGAGCTGTTCTGAGGATTTCCATATTAACACGAGCAATTTGCACTTTGAACCCATGCTGAGAAAATTGTTCTGTAAACAGAGGGTGTTTCCTGCCATCACAAGTCTTTATCATGTGTTTGACACCATTATCACCAAAAGGTCACCAGGTGGCACCCATTAGCAGGACTAACACTCTGTTCTGATGCTCAAGCAGTTCTCCGCTTCCTCTCGATAGCAGCAAAAATACCCTGAATCCAACGTATCTGCCCAGGGATAAATTCACTCCTGGCCTTTTGCCTAAACCCAGGGGGCCATTGCCTGGGTAATGTGTGGTCTACGGGTCCACATTAGCTGGATATTATTAACACCAACTGACAAGGCTCCAGGCCATCAGTATTGACAACGTCAGGCCAGCCACCTGCCTCATCTTGACTCCTGACCCCTGGGAGCTACTCCAAAGTGTAACTAATTCTTCTCAGATGGCTCTTGCCCCAGCTGAGTGGGAGCCTAGCGCCATTTCTCTGCAGAGGAGTTTCCTGAACCTTTCCAGCACGTGGACAGGCACACGGGTGAGGTTGTTGAGATGTCCTTTGTGGATGTCTCCATCCATCACCTGTGACCTCGCTCAGTGGGCTCCTCACTTGACCTACACTCATTTTCCAAGTCCATTGCAGCGGGAAGGCTATTCCCTCAGCCTGGCCAGCTCCTTTGTGTCCTTCAACTCAAGCCTCCTCCACGTCCTCCATGAATCCTTTGTAGACACGCCCAACTCTGGCTGGGAGCCCCAGCCACCTGCGCCCTGGGCATCCTGTCTTCAACCCCATAACCCCACTGCCACTCTGATCACACAGATGTGTCCCTCTCATCTGCTGGATGTCATATTTCATCACCACCTTTGAGGAAAGGGTCTTCCCCTAGTAGATGCCCAATAACTAGTTGTAGCTTGAACAGAAGGACCGGTGATGTGTTTGATTGTGTGCCATTCTTGCTTATGCCCTGAAGCAGAAGGAGACGTACAGTCCATAGTAGGCTGTAGCAGGGTGGTTCTGCAGACCTGGGTTCAGATCCCTGATCTACACCTCTTACCAGCAGGGACCTTGGGTAACTCAACATTTTTAATCCTAATGTCCTCATCTCTGAAGCGGACAAAGGATGCACGCACCACTTCTTATGACTACGGAGAAGATTAAATAAGAAATTCTGTGTGTATTCAATGAGTGCTAATAATCATTATTATTATACTCTCCACAATCAATTTGATGGTTTCCATCTCTGCGAAGCTAGAGATTCTTGTCTGGTAATTCACTTAGGTATTCCAGATGCCAGAGTGCCTGCCACACAGCAGGTGCACAACCAACATTTGCTGAAGGGACAGACAACATGGTCTTGCTAGACTGGGGAAGAGCTCCCTGGCTGCCTGGAATCTTCAGCTTCAGCTGTAGGATTCTCAGGATATCATTTCCCCCACACCCAGAAATACTGATCTGGCAGAGTTTGGGTGGGACCCAGAGTTTGGGTGGGACCCAGTTTGGGTGGGACCATGGGTGCATCCCATGGTCACTGGATGCTCCATCATTTGGGAACCGTGGCACCCCATGATTCAAGTTTCATTACGCCCCCTCTTCTCAGCTCACCCGCCCTCCCTTTCCAACTATCAGTAATGATCATGGTGCTGGGGCTAATATTATTTTTGTGAGGCATAGAAACCCAGCAGAGGCTTTTAAGTGAATACTTGGTAATAGAACAATCAAGTTAAAAGATCAGTGTGACACAGAGCATGAAATAGGAAAGTATCGTGGCCAATTGATTTGGACCACACTTATGGGTTTGTGAAATGAATTTCATTTTCTGGACCAAATGGAAGCCCTGCTTATAAATCACTGCTGGGCTTGGAGATTAATAAAGGAAACAGGCTTGATTAAGAATTCAGAGCATTGGTCCCGTTGCAGATTTATAGACCCAGAGGTCTGGCCACAGGGATTTCAAGATGTCCCACCTGTTAATTGTCATTTAGGAAGATTAACCCTGGGGCTTCTGGGGAAGAACTGAGGATGGGGCATGAGCTCTGCTTGGAAAGGAAGGCAGATTCTCAGAAACACATTTCTCCGTGCGTTTCCAAGCCTCCCCGGAGACCAACCAGTCATGTGGCCTTCGATAGAACTTTCTGGAGATTTTTTTTCCTGCTTCTAGACAGGTGGGGGATTTGGTTTGAAAACCTTTCTGCATTTATCTCCACAAACACTTGGCAGAGCAGAGTTGAGTCAAGATTTAAAAACAAAACAGAAAAGAAGGTGTTTAATGAAATGGACTAAACGCAAAAGATCCCCATTAGCCGTCTAATGTTTGCACAGCCATGCATGTGGAGAGGTTTACGTTTAGTGCTGAGGCATTGGGAAGTATCTTTGGAATTCCTTATCTGTCAAAGGCTGTTGTTAAAGACCAGAAAGAGACAGCAGGGCTTGTGGAGCCAGCGTTAGGGGTGGGGACAGGACCACTTTAACAGGTTTGCTGGGACTAAGCCAACTCATATGTTTGGAGAAATGACACGGTTCAGGATCCAGTATTTGCATAGTGAGCTCCACAGACAAAAAATTATGATTTTAGCATTCCACTCTATAATATCATTGGCCCTGATGGTTTAAAATCCAGCAAAAAGTTAGAAGTCAGGATGGTGTTAATAAAGACCAGAAAAGGGAGGTTTTTGAGGTATTTGATGGTGTGTTGCCACTTGATCTGCACATGTTCAGTTTGAGAAGTTTTATCAAGATTTACAATGAACGTTTTCACTTTTCTGATAATCTACATTTCGATAAAAAGTTAAACATTTTAAAAGCAACAAAAAATTGTTGAGATGGATGGGTATGTTAGTATGTGGCATACTAACAGATTGATTGAAAGTAAAAACACCAACTAGGAAGCCTTTTGTGTAATCCATCCTTCCTTCCTTCCTTCCTTCCTTCCTTCCTTCCTTCCTCCCTCCCTCCCTCCCTTCCTCCCTTCCTTCCTCCCTCCCTTCCTTCCTCCCTTCCTTCCTTCCACTAACCCTGTTTATTCTACATGATTGCTTTTTACTTTCTCAGAGCACTTGTCATTATCTAAAATTATCTTGCAATTTATTTGTTTTGCAATATATTTTGCAAAAATTATTTTGTAATTTATTTGGTGTTACATCCCCTCTCCCCAACAGAAAGCAACTTCACGAAGGAAGGCACCTTATTTTTTGCATTCATTTCTGTGTCCCCAGAGCCTAGCACGTGCGTAGTGAACACTCAAAGAATAGTTGCTGGTTTTGCAAACAAAAAGCAATCAAGGCAGCATGCTAAGCTCTGGGGTTTCCAAATGCACACACTCCTTTTGTAGCACTTGGTTACAAGGTCATCAGAAGCCAGCAAATATTCGTGGGCATCTATGGAGCTCTGGAACTGCGACAAAGAGCAAAACAGAAGGAGTCCTGTGCAACCCCACTCCCTCTTCCCCGACACCCCCAGGAGCTTAGAGTTAAAAAAGCAATAGGGTAACAGGTGATAAGACTTGTAAACAGGGGAAAAGTAAAATGCTGCCAGTGATGAGGAAGAATGCTGTAAGCTGTGGAAGCTACACTTAGGAGCTTCTGGGGACCCCAAATCCCTTTTCATCAGGAAGCTTCTCCAGCATTCCATTTATGTACCCATCACAAGCCTCACTTACCTTGAGTCAGCCTGAGTCTGTCAGAATCTCTTAAAATCAAGTCTTATGGACAGACTGTGTCCTCTCTAAATTCGTATGTTGAAGCCCTAATTCCCAATGTGACTGCACGTTAAGGAGGTGACTAAGATTAAATGAGGTCATGTGGGTGAGCAAGGCACACCAGGTCTTGCTCTCATGGGACTGTCCCCAGCTAACAAGAAGACCTAGAGTAAGAGTATTTAAGCCATAGGTTACAAGCACAGACTCCCTGAGATAGAAATGAAGTCGTGTGAAAGCCCCTTCCAGCCAAAACTTAGAATCATCCCTGGGTTTGAAGGGTGGAGTAGATGCTCAGTAACTGTTTGTCTCTTGAATGGAGTGTTTGGTCATAGCCCATGTTTACCTTCTCCAGGCGATCTGACATAGGTATACCAGAAGTCCGAAAGCACTGTAGCAGGCAGGGTATGCAGATTTGGGTTTGGATTTCTGTCACCCCTTGTCCCTATCAGGCGCTATTGAGGATCTAGTGTTCTTGGAAAAGGGAGCCAACATTTATGCAATTGGTGCTATGTCATTCAAACCTTGTCATGTTAACCTTGTAATTCAAAGGTGGTCTTCAGACATACCGTGTCAGCATCACCTGAGGGGGCTTGTTAGAAATGCAGAACCCCTGGCCCTACCCAGACCTGCTGGGTCTGGAGAAGGGCAATCGGCTGGCAAGGCAGGCAAGGAAGTGGCTACGGGCAGAGAGCGGGAACTGAATTGTAGCTAGGAACCAAATTGTGGCTAGGAACTGTTCCCTGGTGGGAACACACACGGTCGGAAGTTCCAAGGGACCTTTAACTGACGTACAGCTCGTTACCATCTAATTAGCATAACATGGTGGAGTTTTCGTGAGGAATTCTGGGGAAGACGCATGCGCATAAAGGAAACCAACCTGCTATGTAACCTGGTCTGTAACCCCAATCTGTCAATCACCCCAAAGGCAGGAAACGGCAGCCAATCCTGCCAGGGGAAAGGCGGGACAAACCAGTGAGCTTATAAAAAGCAGCCTGTGCTCAGATTTGGAGGAGGGGGGCTTCTTTCTCCACTCTTGGTCTCTGGTACATTTCACTCTCTCTGGAATGTATTTTCACTTTGTGTGCCTTTTTCTGTACTTTCATTCTTTCTTTTCTGTGATAAACTGTCTGTATACGATTGCTGTGGGTTCGTGATCACTCCCTCCTCACCCTCACTCGGTACCAGTACTCATTCCTGGCCCGGGGACCAGGGGACCTCCAGAATCAGAACCTGCATTTGAACAGCTTCACATGAACGTGATAGGTTGAGACTTGCTGCTCTAGAAAACACTTTGTACCCATTATTCCATTTCATTCTTGGGGGGAAAAAAAGACACTGAAATACGTGGATCCATGTGCAAAATATGACGACACCATCCTCTCTCTCTCTTCCAGTCATACCAACTTCTTTTAATAGCCTCGGAGAAATACAATGACCACGTGGGCTGCAGGGACAAGGTTCGGGAGAGAGACTTGGATCTGAACCGGCTGGTCAGGAAGACACAGAAGGGAGGAAACTCAGAAATGTCTGGTCTCCGTTTTTTGTTCAGCTCATCCCAGAAATCAGAGTCAAATAGGGACAGACCCCCCCCTTCCCCGGAAAACCAAGACCTAGCAGCCCGCACTGAGTCATGGTTTACGTGCTTTAATGGGAAGCAAGGGAGAGTGCTTCGTCATAAGGCCTTGTAATGTTCCAGAAAGGGGGGCGATTACCAGCACCGGTTACACACCGCTTCAGGGTCCCCAGGCTTTCTGGACCAGGGGTCTGTCTTCCCTGAGGAATCAGATTGTGGACATTTGTGAATCAGTGTTATCTTTGGTGGGGAGGAAGCCCTGGAATTTGATTAGACACAGCTGGTGCAGCAAGGGGTCATTTGTCCACAAAATTAGGGCTGTCTTGCCTACAAAGCCCTAAGTGGAAAAGTGCAGGGTCGGTTGAAATGATTTCAGCATCCATGGGTCAAGTTAAAAGGCACAAAGAAGGGTATAATCTATAATTCAGGAGCCCAACCAGAGCAGGATAACAGCAGAGGGAAAAGCACACACGTGCAGGATGAGTTCCATCGCCTGAACGTCTTCAGGAAAATGATTATGATTATTTTGCACAGGAAGGAAAAATGTTTCCAAGAATCGATGAAGGACACTGTTCAGAAACGTCCATAAACTGGCCTAAGAGACAGGACAGGAAGGGCCTGAGTCTCTGTTTTACAGATCGTTTAAAGGTGCTGACAGCGCAATCAATTACTCGGGCAATTTTATAACTTTAGAGCATCATCCTAAAGATGAGTTTTTTTCCATCCCCACCCTACAAATTCCTCCTCTCAGATCGGTTGATCCTGCCCACCCTGCAACAGCAGATTTGAGTAAAGAGAAGAACTATGCAGGAGGGTGACTCATGGGAGTTCAAAGGCTGCCCCCCTCCCATGACCACCTCCTCCCCCTTGCTGGGTTGGAATGGAGATCAATCAGAGAGGAAAATACAGGCTTCACCCCCAAAGCCGCAGGAGTGGAAAAACCACATCCTAGGCAACACAGATTGACACACAGAACAACTGAGGGTCATCTAGACCAGGGGTCAGCAACTTTTTTTGTAAAGGGCCAGACAGTAAATATTTTTGATGTTGCAAATCATAAGGTCTCTGTTGCAACTATTCAACTCTGTCATTCTAGTGTGAAAACAACCATAGAAGATATATAAGGAAATGAACATGGATAGTTCCAATAAAACTTTATTGACAAAAACAAGTAGTGGGCCGGATTTGGCTCACAGGCCAGAGTTTACCAATCCCTGATCTACAACAATTTAGTCCTGTCTTCTCATTTTACATATGGAAAAACAACAACAACAACAACAACAACCAAGGCTTGGGTGGGAAATGACTTTCCCAAGGTCATGTAACTTAGGAAAGACAGCTCTAGTGGAAAGCCTAAAATGTTGACTGTCTTTTAAAGCTCTATCCACCACACCACATGACCTCTCCCTCCCTTCCCTCTTTCCTTTCTTCCCTTTATCATTTGCTTAACACTTAGTATCCACACATAAGCAAACAGAGTGCCTGCATGAATGCAGCTTTCAGCCTAGTGCCACACTAAGAAACCAGTTTTTAATTAAGTTTACTTAGAGAATCAGCATTAAGTTTGTGTTGGTTTGTAAATACTAGTGTTCTAAAACTACTGCTATTAAACTATTAGAATAGAACTGAAGCATGCGCTACCCTTAATAATATATTTTCTCTGTTGATAATATATTTTCTCTGTATGTAATTGTTTGCAGATTAATTATACAACCAATTATGCTCATTAAAGGGAAATATTTTTTAATGTAAATAAGAGGTAGAAAGAGAAAGTGCTCATTATCCACTTATTCAAAGATATCTACATTAGCAAGTTGGTGCATTTTCTTCTACTTTTTTTTATATGTCTTTACATAGACCTGGATGTATATGAGTGTGTGTGTGTGTGTGTGTGTGTGTGTGTGTATGCATGCGAGTGTAGTGTGTTAACAAAAATGGCATCCTTCTCTGTGCACCACTATGCACAGGTATAACACTATTTCCCATTCATTCCTGTGCACTGACTTACAATAATTTTTTTGAAACATAGCCTGCCCATGAGTTGGCATTTCCCTAAATTTCTCAAGATGAAGTGGTGGTGGTGGTTGAAATCAGGCAGGGAAAATTGCAGAGAGGTTCCTGACATAAGGATAGGAAAAGGTAGCAATGTGATCCTTCAGTGTTTAATTTTTTAACAGATTTGCTTCATGGTCTCACTTTTTAAGATGACTTTGTTGGTCCAGAAATAAACATGCCACCATTAGCAGAGGATGACCTTACAAAGATCCAGAATGATAAGTATCCAATGATAAATGATCCATCACAGGGAAATATTTGGCATGCAATTCCAGGGAGTGGACTGGGTTTTTTATTATTATTATTATTATTATTATTATTTTACATCATCCATCTCACATTTATGAATCTGACAAGCAAGTCAGACATGACACCCGCTTGGGCTGGGAGACTCGGGGTTGTAACAACTAAAACCCCATGAGCTCAATGGTTCTCTCCTCTTTGGTGCCTCATGTGGCATGAATCATCAATGTCTTGATCCAATTCAAACAGGACCCTTTTCCAAGGCTGGCAAGGGAAGGGTTCTGTGATCCATATTGATTAATTCCATCCATCCAGTTTTAAGCCCTGACTATACAAGGGTATTCATTAGGATTTTTCCAGTTGTAGGCAACAGGTGCCAACTCTGGATTATGTAAAGAAAACAGGACGTTCTTGGAAGATAAGTAGCTCACAAACTCTGAAGAATGGGCACAGAGAAGATAGGCAACAGGGCACTGTGGCCCAGAAAAGGGACTAATGGGGACATGCTTTGGATCATTACGATCTGCATGAATCCAACCATTTTCAGTCTTTGCATCACTCTACTCAAGACTTCAGTTTTCTAGAAAGTCCAGCTGATCTTCCAGGGTCTCACTCTTACCCCTTGGCTAGTCTGGTATCCTCTTCTTCCTTAGGCATATGATGCCCGATGAAAGGGCAGGGAAACCTACATTTCTCAGCTCCCCTTAGAGCTAGGTGTGGTAAAGTAATTAGGTTCTGAGCTCTGGCTAAAGTGATGTAAGCAAAAGTGACTTTGCTTTTTTTGCTGGCTGGAATAAGAATATGATGTCGGAGCCAGAGCAGCTATCTTGGGCCATGAGGTAACTTTGGAAGTGGAGACCATGCATGGCAAAGCAGCAAGCTTGATCTTGACTGTTCACTTCCAAACTTTTAAGAGAGAGAAATAAATATCTAGCTTGTTTGTGTAGCAAATTGTGGGGTTTCTGCTTTAACCTAAACTTAAATAATACAGGGGCCATATACAGCAACCACCATTAAAATGGTTTAAAGAAAAAGCAACGAGAGATCCAAAATCCTGAGCTGCATGGAGATGGATAATCAGGGACAGGAATGACAAGGGGGTCCATCAGTCCAGCCAGAGAGGATGACCTCAGGAAAGGCTAAAAGCGGAGGAGTTTTATTGAATGGATGGGACCGAAGCAGATTTTTCATACACAGGAAACAAATAAAGATAACACTGAAAATCAGGCTGGGTTGGGTCAGATTCTAGAAAGTTTTGAACTCTAAGAGAAAGAGTTACAACTTTGTCCTCGAGGCCAGGAATTGACAAAGTTTGTCTGTAAAGGTCCAGACAGTACATATTTTAGGCTTTGTGGGCCACACATGGTCTCTGTCACAACTGCTTAACTCTGTTATTGTCCCAGGTAATTGACAATATTTAAGTGAATAGGCATGACTGTGTGCCAATAAAACTTTATAAAAACACATGTCCAGACCACAGAACTTGGCTTGTTAACACCTGCTACAGGCTTAGAGTCCCCAAAGTGTGTTCCTTTGGCCGCTTGTTCCTAGATATGGTTCAACAGAAACATGGTTCTGTTAGCAAACAAGGTTGGGAAATGCTGCATTCTTTATTCATCTCCCAGGGAGTCACAATGCACACTAGTATAGTAAACGCTCTGATAAGTCACGCAGCAAGAAAATCTGTTAGACCTTGTTTAATCCCAGCACTCCCCTAACTTATTTTATCAGACACCTTTAGTCCCAATGAAGAGACTTCGGAAACCCCGTGAAAATGATGGGGGTCCAGGGAACAGCCCCCACTAAACCAACGAT